CTTAATGAACATTAATAGCTTCTTCAAGGTTATCATTGTTAATTAGACATTGATCATTTACCTGATAGGATCTTATATTTTACTATCTAACAATCTATATTTATTTTTTCATTTATATTTTCGAGGACGAATGTGTAAATGTAGCTTCATTATAATTATCAACTATTTAATTAACGACGGTTGTGTTCGAATAATTAACATAGAAGGTCTTGACCATGAACGAAAATATAGTAAACATAGTAGTTTAGTTTTGTTCCTTTCTGTTATATTATAAACAACATAACAAGTTTGTCTGATAAATAACATGTTTCTATACTTGTCTATAATACAGCGATTGTAAAAATCTTGTATTGATATATCATCGATAAATGTATGAATTACTCAGAGATGAACATAATAAACCAATTGTATTGTATGATCATAGTCCATAAGCACTGAACATCAGCATCCTGTTTGCTAGCAGAATTATCACGCTGTCTTTTTTTCTCTCGTTCTCTTATATTTTATAAGATATGTAGGCGACGCAGCGCACCTATAAAATCAGCAACATTCGCCTCCGATCAACCACTCAAGACTGACAATCGTCACAATTATTCGAGTAAAAGTGAGTTGATTCTATAAGAATTAAATTGAGATTCATAGTTTGCTTTGTTAATAACAGAATAATAATGCTTCTTTCTTTTTATAATATAGAGTCAGAGAACGTAATTCTACCGCACAAAAAAAACATCTTCAGAAAATCATTAATAACTCAAGTTCTTACTGGATATAGAGAGCTGAATTTTACTTTTTCGAATAGAGCAATAAGAGTAATTGAAATACATAATTTCGTTATAATTCTCATATCAAAACAAAAATTCTAATTAAGAATAATATAATAGTATGAAGCAAACAAAAATATTTTATACTTTTTTTTTTCAACAACTTCATCAAGTTATTTATTGATTTGGTTTTACTTTTTTCACATTCAATAAACTAAATTTTAATAAGTTTTAGTTAGAATAGACGATCTATATGCCATATTTAGTTTGAATTCTATGTGTTTTTTTTTTGAAAATTGTTTATTTTCATTATTCATGTTCATTTTTATAGTTTCTTTTTAATACATTCGAATAATCAAATGTTTCAGCATGAAAAATAAAATCGATTTTTTGAAATATTTTAAAATATGACCAACATCAAAATGAGATTCTGTAATGAGTGCAAAGTATTTAGTTGCTTTTCATAATTTGTTTCCGTTCATTCTTCAGTAGTTTATATATGTCCAGAGGAAAATGAGATGAATATAGTTTAACAGAGATATTGTAGATTTCTTACTTCTGTTCCAGATGTATTTTAATAATCCAACAAGGCGTCTGAAAGTAATTGGTGATATTAGGATTTATTCAATAAAATTTTTCATCCTATACACAGTTACCTGTTTGTTGACGTTTATTTATTTTGAAAAATGTTAGTGTCATCTATCTACTATCATTGTTTTATTAGCACCATCGTCACTGTGTCTCGAAGTTTTGATGTTAAAATTTGGTACAATTTCAGAACTTTTTTATTTCTATTAACAATCAGTCGAATTGATCTCTATCCTTCAGATGATGAAAGGCGATTTTTCAGAACTTGATACTTCTCTAGATGATCACATGAATTTCAAACGACTATCAATCAATTAATGAGAGTTGAATAGCGCCATGTATTAGAAAGCATCCTCTTTATTTATCTACAAGGTGTCGGAAATATAAAATTCAACTGAATTTTCTCTCTTTCTTTTCTATATGGCTAACCTAGACAGAATCGAAACATCTAATATGCTATTTAAACAATGACATTGGACTTTTACGCTAAAAAAAAAAAATTGGTAATAAACGACAAAAAAGAGTGATCATAACTTTTTTTTTCGTTTTAACGCTTCACTTACGTTTCAAAGTGTTTATCATATGACATGATTGTTTTAACGTCTTAATAATCAGTATCTACTATGTGAAGAGTCATGGTAAATATCTACTATTATGATTTTTCGAGTAAAACAGTTATAAACATAAAGTAGTATAATTATGTTCTTTTTTTGACAGAATTGTGATTGTCTTTCTTACTTCTATCAATCAATATCATGCGCTAGTCAGTTATTATTTAGCAATGATATTAATTCATATTAGAGAAAATAAGAGCAAGAAGAAAATGAAGAAAAAAGAAACAGCCAGAAAGGAAAGCAAAACAAGAAAAATACACACGTAGGTTAGACCTTGAATAAAACATGTTTTAACTTGTTAAGGTTTCATATGTCAGCAACATATGTGAGTCATAGGAAGGAAAGGAATAGGAAAGGAAAGGAAAAGAAACATATGTGCATGAATGGAGGAAAAAGACGACCTTCGTGGGACTCGAACCCACACCTTCTGCTATCCGGGCAGTTGTCCTAAGCCAGTTAGACTAGAAGGACCATCTAATCCTCCATGTAGCGTTGTGATGTATCATCACAGACGCTAACATCATAATAACGTCATATAAGGAAAAGGCACCTCTCTCCCCTAAACAAAATGCTATCGTTAAAGCGGTGTTATTACAAAATTTTAAACAAGTTAAAATGCGTCATTTTTTCGAAACTTACGCGTTTTTCTGTTGATCTCACTATTGATTTTGTCAGTAAAATCATGTTCACAGGACTATATAAATTTTAATTCGATAATATCTTATACAGAACTCGAATTTTTTTTTTTTTGTCTTTTTGGAACTGGTTAATTGCGTTCAATATTTGCTCATTAAACAGCATTTAATCCCTATATAATTAGTTGGTGTCTTGTTTTTTATTACCTTCACAGTACTCGACTCAATTTTTTCCAGTAGTTAGTTTTTTGACATAGTTTGTTAAGAATTGATAGCACTTTGCTTTTATATCATAGCTCAAGTATGTACAAAATTCATTCAAAAAATAATATATCTTATCAATTACAGTCTCTTGCATCGTCTTTAAATATAATTTACAAGCAATACAGATAATAATTATAACTACTCATTTTTTTTCTTTTTACATATTTTCTTATGTTCAATTTCTTAACTAGTGAGTTATGAAAAAATGTATCTGTTCCTTTTCTTTTTTATGTTCCTTAATGAATCAATGAAGTTAAGCCAAATAAGAACAAAGAAATAGAGAGTATTTTTTCATGTAGATTTTTACAAAAATATGTGTTTTTTTTTTCTGCTTATTAATTAAAAGATTCTTTTGACATCAACCGTTTTGTTTTACAATCTTCTAAATTAATTAATAGATGGTATTCATGAAGAAAACATGGATATACATTATTTGTTTTGAAGAGATACTAAATTTCATTATAAAAAAAAATTCAAATTATTATTAAAAAAGAAGAACTTATAGATAATTTACCTAATAGTGTAAAACTCGTTAAAACCGCACATTCTAACGTGCTATGAATGCATAAAAGTATCTGACATTGTAAAAACTTATTAACATATCTAACAAAAACAACACTATATATATTTAGATTTTGGAGCTAGTTTAGAAAACTCCAAATGATTTCAGTAGAACATTTATCATATATAAGACATAAATTTTATCTATGAACAATCGACAAAAATTTAAACCGTATTGAAAGAGTATTAAAAGACTAGTTAGAAAAAATAAATTTGCTAAAGGAAAGCTAAGTAAATTCAAGGTCAAAATTATACTTTGCTATTAATCGAAGTTTTTAAAGATTTCTCAACCAAATAGCAATGAAATCAGAATAAAAAAACTTATTTTTATAACTAACTTATCAAGCTTTCTCAAATTATGTATAAATTAACGTAAACTTTTCATTTCTGGAATATTAAAAATAAACTAAGAGGATATTTTCTAATACACAACGTCATTCAACTGTCATGAGTTGATCATATCATCTAGCATAATTAAAATTTAGTTCATTTAATATGGAAAAAGTAAAACTAAATCCATAAATAACTTGATGAAGTTGTTGAAGAGAAAAAGTATAAAATATTTTTATTTTTGATATGAGAATTATAACGAAATTATGTATTTCAACTACTCTTATTCATTTATTTAAAGAATTTTGTTTTATTCTAAGCTATCGCCAAAATTATGAAACAAAAAAAAAACAATTTTTTGTTTTAAAAACTGCTTATTCTTGTCGATAAAAAAAAATCGAGATAGACAAATTTGAATTACATTGAAAAACATATGAATCGATACAGCATGATTAGAAGAATCGAACTATATATATTTTATCTTAACTAATGATCATTTTCATAAAGAAATTTAGCTTTTTCTAAAACTTACTGCAGTTTTATGTATAAAGGGCAGAATTAATAAAAAAAATTACATTTATCGGCAAATAAAAAAAAACAGAGTTGAACAAAAATTGATACTCGTGCTATTATCGCTCTTATCGTAGGATATTAGGTGAAAGTTTTTCAATAGATCATACATAAATTGACACATAAATGTTTGCTTTACTCCAAAAAGTAAAATTTAGCTCTGTATATCAGTGAGAAGTTGAGTTATTAATGATTTTCTGAAGATGTTTTTTATTTTTTTGTGTGGTAGAATTACGTTCTTCGATTCTAAATCTTACTATATTAATTCTAGTCATCATATTAACCATCTAACAACAAACAGACATGGGAAACAAAAAGAGCCGTGAGCCCGATTGGCCTCCTCCTGAACTTCCTCCTCCTCCTATTTATCCTCCATCATTTACGAGTAATCGTTGATAAATTTTGTTGTCTTCCACATCTTGCGTATACACATACACATATTTAACACTCTTTTCATTTCTTATTACCTAGCTACAACTATTTCACGACGACGCCGAAAGCGACTTCCTCCTAAAATCCGTGTCATCTTTGTGCCTCAAGTTCCTCCTATTGGAATTGGATGGTAAGTTGATTTATGTGATGTTCTGCAATAAGACTTTAAACGAGTTCTTTGTCTCTTGCTTAATAGTGTTGCACCAATGCCCTGTGCAGTACCTGTAGCAAATCCCTGTTGCAATCTGGGTAAAAAGATTTCAATCGAATTTTGAGTATTTTTGTAATCAATATATACTTCTTCGTTTCATTCTAGGTATCGCAGGATACGGAGGATTCGGATACGGTGGATACAGTGGATACAGTGGACTTGGGGGACTTTGCTGTCCTTTATAAACTGTGATGATGCTTTATCATTGATTCATTCTTTATAAAAAAAGAAACTAACAAATTACAAATCATACATATAATTTAGTAAATAAAAAGACTTGCAAACATTATCCACGGATTTTTTATTTTGAAATTTTTTTATTGAGTGTTTTTTGTTTTTTATTCTTTTTGGAGGGTGTGGCTACCTGCTCAAAAAGATGCACACTCACACCCACACCCAAAAATATATAGTATGATGCGATAAACAGCTTTTTCATTCTTATACGTGCTTATATTACTTTTTTTTTCAATATTCACTGTATTTAGTGGAAGTTATTTTGTGTGTATGGTGTTTGAAAAGTCTGGAAAATATATCTAAAAAAATTCAATGCAATAATATAAAAACAGTTCTATTGAAAGCCTCTAAATGAATATTATTATTTTTTGATTATAATAATCTACTTGATTCTAAAGAATATACAATTCATTTGTTAGACGTTCCTCAAGAATGATTGAATGAGTTCATATCGCTTACACTAACCGAAACTTTCATTTTTCGTCATGATCGTCTGATGACATTAACCTTATTAAATTTATATTTCTGACTGCTGAAGGCCATCCGTTCTTCTTTGACGATGACTATGAAAGACATGACGTTACGTACTGCTTCTCGCATTCATAACTCAAAATCTTGAATAACATTTAATGTAAAATTTACCAAGATCTTAAACAAATCAATACATATATGTTAGAGGCATGTTGGTTTTTTTTTCAAACTATCTAGAATTAGTTATCCTGACCTCCATAAAGCTGCTGTTTTTTCAGGTTACTGGAAAAAACAAATTAGAGAATGAAGTAAATTCACCTATTCTCTGATACCATATCTATGCTCGTTCTTTTTTAATGCGAGAAGACGAATTAATTATGATTACTGCTACAAAAGGCAGTCTTTTTCATTCTTTTTAAATTTATACTTCTACTACTTGTTTCGTATATTATTAAAGGTGCGGGTATGGTATGTAGGGTATGAGACGCAGGTGTGGGCGTGATCGTCTCTGTTCATTTGTTAAAAAACCCACACCAATACCCACGCTCTATATGAATAACGATGAATAAACGCAGTATCGAATCGTAAACTACTCGTGTAATTAATACGAATGCAGATCCTAATTTAAGGGTACAGTTTATATTTACATCCAAATAACAGAACTTTGGCCCTAAACCGTTAAATCCATAATCTGTTCCCGATTTTTTTGCATCCATATGCATCACATATTTAAAAGTTTTTATATGGTAGAAGATGCCCTCAGAAGATAAGAACTAATGTCTGCACAAGCATTAACTACTACAGCAGTACTATGAATAACATAAAGTTTATAAGATGAATGAAATATTGAAAATTTCATTGCATTTGAATATTTCTGATTGAAGTGATTTCTTACATGAATGACACTGATGAAGGTTATTATATTTTTTTCTAGAGATTTCTCCTTTCTGTCCGAGCATTGCACAACATTTTGTAAATGAAAGAAAAAGAAAGAACACAGATTTATTCATGTATGATGAATAGTGAATATTTTTTTTTCATATGCACGACGCAATATATTTTTAAAACACTCATTTCTTCAATTCATATGATAAGTGCAAGTCTATAAAAAGCAACAGTAGTTGTTAACAAGAAAGTGTCATTTTGATTAAAATGTGTTCTACTGGTGATGTACAATTTTCAGTTGGTGAACAAAGTGAAGCTATTCGTAAACAATTTTGGGCAACAAATTATTCACAATGTCCAATATGTAAAAGTGAAAATATTGCTGTTAATTGGTGGTCATGTGGATGTAGATTTAACGGAGACGATGAGCAATTGTGTACTCTCTTGGATTTGTAAAGTCATTTCACGTTTAGGATGGGGTACCGTAGTTTATCAATGTCTTGGAAAAGAACGTAAAGAAGATGTAAAAAATTTAGAATGGGATAAGACAACAAGAAAATTACCTGGTGAACACGGTTGTGGTTTTTATACATCATTTGTTTATGATGAAGGAGGTGAGGGACCAGAAAACTATGAAACAGCACATTGGAAAAACCATAATAATTATAAACATGTCTTGGTCTTCATTTTTTTTCTGAATATATTTTTTCAAAATAAAACAGAATATTATTTCAATTCATATCGATAAAATAATTCACACACATAAAAAAACGTCATATATTCTTAATCAAATGATTCGACATGTCAACTGGTTCTTAGCTTGGACGTGAATGTTAGCGAAGGCGTGGATGCAGTCTGTTCCCTATATCCACACCCACACTCCGAAGAAACACGACTCAAATGTTGTCTAACACGAAATGGATATCATAGTGCTTTCAATACTTCAGCATCGATTAATTATGAAGGTGACGCTATATTTGGTGGATATCACCCACCAATTTCTACTTCTGGTTTATGCACAAGATCTTGTCAACCGAATGTGATATGTTATGGCTGAACATATTTAGGTCATACTAAAAGTAGCGAGATCTAGGTCGTTTAAAATAGAGGCCGTAACAACGTCGTTTACGACAGTAAAAGACGAGTATATGGTGTAATTATGATCGTTTACGATGAAGATACGATCCGTTAAGGCGCCATATTACTCATTTTAACACGAGCAATAATACGGCCGTATTTGCCCGTACTGTAAACAGCGACGTAAGCGGTCGTTAACGATGCTTTACAGTGATCGTATATGGATAGTATTTTTCATTATTTATGGCGATAAATACACCGTTTTCTACAGTTTACCTCCAGTGTCGGTACACTTATTTCCATATCAAAAAGTCTCTGTCAGATCTTGAAAGGATCTTACGAGATTAGATATATACTAAATAAAAAAAAGATAATTGTTTTTTAATAAATGAATACTTACCGATTAAATTTTTTTCCATTTGATCTAAATAAAAAAAATAATATTGTTGAAATGAACAATACTCACCAATTAACTGTTTTTTTTCAATTCATCTAAATAAAAAAAATAATTTTATTTAAATAAATAATACTTAGCGATCAAACTATTTTCACTAGTTTTCTAAACGGAAAAGAATTTTTTTGTGGAACTCACATATATTCTCGAAGAAAACAGTGAGTGTAAGTTTTAAATTCAGGTTTTACGACTCCCCCTCCTCCCCAACCCGAGGCCCCAACCATTACAGACCTTAGCAACTGAGGTCAAAGGTCATTGGGTATATTCCCTAGCAATGGTGGACAATAGCAACTGGCTGCTTTCCTATAGCTCGTTAGCAACCATATGGCGCGAAATCATACATTATTGGATATGTTTCCATAGCAGCGAGCTCCTCCATGACAGGCCGTTACAAACAAATTAATTAATTAGCAAAACAATGAATTAATAATTAATAATTTTTTAGCATTTATTAATATTTATTGATATTTTTGTGGAACTCACGTAGTCGACGAAGGAAAATAGTGAATGTAAGTTTTAAGCCGAAGTTTTGGCGACTCCCCCTCCCCTTCTCCCTTCTCCATTACAGACAGTCCCATTACAGACACTATTACAGGCACCCCCTAGTACAGTCTTTAGCAATTAAGAATAACAGACGTCAGATATTCTAGTTTCTTTTAAAAAATTGATCAAGTTATAATGTTGGAAGATAATCAACGTCATTGTTTGTAAGTTGATTAATATATATAATACGTAGGGCACTACCAAAATTTTTTCGTCCGGTTCTTCTAAAAGCCTCGGTGTGAGTTCAAGTACTCTATTATAATGCTTAGACATATTCAGGATTATGTGAAAAATTTCAGACTTCAAAGTCTTGTACTTTTTTGTAGTCTACCATTTCTTTGACGTTAATAACATGCCAGTTTCTATACGCTACATAACGGGTGACTTATAATAAATGACAGAACTTTGCATTTGATATTTTGATCCATAAAAACATTTTATTGAAAAAAACCGAAATATGTCAGAAGATGCAGCGTGAAAAGCTCTACAATCTACAATGTAAAACTTATCTCAATTGTGTACTTTTTGTTTCAAAATAAACAGTATTCTGAGCGACTAATTCTCGACGCTGTGAAAAGTAGCCCAGAGAATTTTGCTGTTTTTTAAAAACAAAAGCTGCAGATATAATATAAATTGTTCTTTGCAAATTGTAGAATTTTTCATGCTGCATCTTGTGGTGTATTTTGTTTTTTTTAATAAAACATATTTGGTGATAAATAAGAAAAAACGCGTTCGTCGCATACCAAAAAAACCACTTTTTTTGCAACGTCAAAATTTGATCGTTCAGAATTTTGTCGATTTTGGAACATAAAAAATGCAACTGTAAAATTAGCTGTCCTATATAAATTGTAGAACTTTTCACGCTGCATCTTCTGGCCTATTTTGTTCTTTTAATAAAACGTATTTAGGGATCAAAATATGAAATGCAAAGTTCTTCCATTTATTATGGGTCATCCGTTAGTAAGTTGCGTGCACCTATCATAAAAGAAATGATGAACCACAGAAAAGTACAAGACTTAGAAGTCTGAAATTTTTCACATAATCCTAAATATGTCTAAGCATTATAATAGAATACTTGAACTCAAACTGAGGCTTTTAGAAGAACCGGGTGAAAAAAGCTTTTGTAGTGCCCCACGTAATGCACAAGAGCTTCTATAAATATCATGAATATGTAATACAGATTTATTTGCTAATTAATTCAATGATTATAATGATAAGAATGTTGAATTAAAAAAACGAATTAAAAAATAATGAGAGATAATGAGCGAATAGCAACAATGTAAAATAAAAATACGGCACCTGTAGAAAAAAATTTCTATTCGAAATGCAGAAATTAGAAAGATTCTCACTCTGATTTTCGATTATCCTACAAAACAACTGTAGTCTACGAGAGATTTCTCATTTTATGTATTGTTTATTAGTTTAATGAGGCTAGAGAGCATATGTGAGTTCCACATTTTAGTCCCAAAGGGGCTGCGGCAACAAGTTTTTTTTAAATAAATTAATATTTATCCTTTAAAA